ACTTGGAAATTATACACTTGAAATGTTAGAAGACTCATCTTAAATCTCTGAGAAATGGCTAAATGCCCCAAATTCTCATGGTCCTACTGGTTAATATTACAGTCCTCAATAACTTATTGATAGTATTTTTTTGTACATGTCCATCTTTCTGTGGAACCTCTACAAATGAGTGCATAGAAATGAAAGATTCAGCATGCTCCCAGAGAATAGCCCTGGAAGCAGCCTCTTCCAAAGCGTAGCCACATCCCTACATCTCACATCTCTGCAGCTTTCAACAACTGCAATTAATCAACCTTGAACACTTCACCTCTAAACTATGGTGAGGAGAGGCTGTCAGCTTCCCAATTAAACTACTTGCCTGTATTCACTAATAAAGCAATAAACCAGTGAGTCCCCTCTCTGCTAGGGCCCATTTGTTGAAGCAGGAACCACAGCCACAGGTAAACCCAGGTCTCTGCAGGTGAGGAAGCTGCGGTACACTGGCTTAGAAATATTATCTACACATGCTTTCTCTAAAACTTAATAAAATATTAAAGAGAGAAAGGAAATATATAAGCATTGGCCTGATGAATATTGAGGAGCTCAAGGCAGTTTGGGAGCCAACTCTCACCTAACATCACATCAACATAACATAACATAACACAGCATAACATCAAACCAAACAAAGCACACTGATGGCATTATAAAGGGGCAAGCTGAAGGGCAGCCTGCTACTCATTAGCAGTGTAAATCGTAGTTCTCAAGCAGTTCTGCTAGTCTTATCAAATACTGCAGATATGTAAAGTCCATGTAAGATGTAGTGGTCCATACCTGTAATTCCAGCACTAAGGAGGCTGAGATAGAAAGATTGTAAGTTCAAGCCCAGGTTGAGGCTACATTGGGAGACCAGCTCAAAAAGAAAAAAGAAAAGTTCCATGTAGAAGCCAAAGGGAGTCCAGCATTTAGTAATTAATTGGTCACCTCACCCAAAAGACTAGTTCCACAACTTGTCTATTGTTAGTGTCCTAGGCTGCTTCTCCACTGTCCCCCACCTCCTCCCTTCTCAGCCATTCACAGAAGCCTTAGCTGAATAAAACACCATGATTCAAAACAAAAGTACTTCTAGAAGGTACCATTGCACAGAAAAAGGTTCTATAGCCCAGGGGGCCCCATACACAGACAGCCTTTCCACATGATAGCTCTAGGGCTGGGATGAGCATTCAGGAAGAAATCTAGTAAGTACTGCGTGATTTCCCTTCATGCTCCATCTTATGCTGGAAGACAATCAAGGATCCTACAATGGTGTTATTGCCTCATGCAATTCTAGAAAGAGGCAATAGCAAGTGATACAATTTTCATGGCTTGCTCATTGGTCACTTCACAATGGACAGAGCCACCAGGAAGAGTGCATTTTTACGTATATTTTGAAAAGCTAAGTAAGAAAACTAAGAAAAACACAACTCACTATCTTCCTCTGAGGTACCAAAGTCCCTTCCAGATGTCACAGTGACGAGAAACAGCTGGGCCTGCTCTGGGTTACTCTATAATGTGCAGAACAGCAGCTTTAAGACCTAGTCTGATCTATAACATTTTATGAAGCAATAGCATTAACCTAAGCTGAGGATAATTGCCAAATAGAATAATTTTACATCTTCTTTGCATACATCAACAGTGAATATCCACTGTCACCTCATGAGGCAAGAATTGATAATTTGTGCCTACAAATAATCACGTGAAAATATATAAAATCATACCACAAACACTAAGCCCATGAGCTTACCAAACACAACAGATCTTTTGTTTCGTGCAACTCCATCATGTAAACTATAAAAGGAGTAATACCTAGTACACGGACACAGCAGCACACACTGACCCAATATCAGACCATCCAGCCTATGTGTCAAGGATTTACAAGTGCCTAAGTCCCAACTCTATCCTGGAAGTTTCAGCTCAAGTCGATCCTAGCTTGATTTCACCCACTCACTTTTTCCTGAGGATAAAGTGTGCCTGAAAATCATCTCTAGACCCAGACTCAACTCTTCCTGAAATAAGTCATGTACCTTGAACCAGAATTTCACTGCAAACAACTCTGCTATTTGACACCACCTGGCCTCAACAGCTCAGTGACAGCTCTGTGACTTGGCAGTATCTTATCTGGCCATAAGCTCTTGCCTGAGGCAAGGCCCACCATTTTAACCCTTTCCTAGCCTACACCGCTAGTAAATTCAATTAATTTGAAGTATAAGGTGTGGTCTGAGAATTAGTATTAGTAATTAAGAACAATTAAGTACATTGTTAGTGCCCTAGGCTCTTAAGTATTTGGTGAATTAACACCAACCAAATCAACATATATTTCATATTTGTTGCTTTTCAATAAAATTTGATATTATATATGACATTGCTCACAACACAGGGGTTCTTCACCACAATCCCCACCTGAAACGACCTGTGGCTGTCTTAGCAGTGTGCTTTGCAGATGAGGAAAACACACCACCATTTTAGGATCCTGTGAGTCTTCTATTAAAGAGTAATTCCATTTTAGTGGTACCCATTCCTGGAATTAGACTGTTCTTATCAATGGCCTACCTGGATAATACTTTTAATGGGGGAAGACATACCACAAGTTCCTATCTTATTTCCATGTAACCGCTTGCTCACCTCTAGCAGAATCCTGACACACAGGAAGATGGCTTCCCAAGGGAGATGAAAGGCTGACAGAAATTCACAGGTGTGGGCTGGGCCCACCTTCCTCTGACCAGTGATTAATAAAAATGACCACTGGCCCTGCTGCCCCAGGGTAGACACCGCCCTAAAATATGCTATCATTTCACAGAAAGGAAACTCACTAAGGTGAAAACTGAAAATAAATTCATGTCTTCCTGAAGTTTTAATAAGGACAAGAGCAGAGATACACAAGGGACAAATTCTAAGTGGGCTAATGTGAAATAAAAGACAGTCCCATTCTTCAGGAGGTATAGAGGCTAAGCGAGAAATACTAATTGAAACTTATGCCAAACTAAGCTTCTCTCCAAGGTCACTGTAATATTGTTTCAAATGGGATTTCATCTAGCTACATGCTTTCCTCTCCCCATAATGACTCATTAGGGTTCCAGAACATGATATGGCAATTGGGGAGAGGGTGAGGGAAGCAGGGTCTTCCATCAAAGATCAAAGGTGTCTTCAGGAAAGGGACAATTAGCTCAGTGCCTGCCCAGGACACCTGCTCAGACCTCTGGGCTTAACCCTGAGGCTTCTTTACCACTCTGACTATTTCATGGAGAGTTAAAGCCTTTGCTTTAGCTCTTTTTTCTTAGGAAACAATTTCAGTTATTCGCATGCAACATGAATGGATGTACCCTGTTTTAGACTGGTCTAAGTGCTGGCTGACTGACTTCTCTGTGCCTCCAGCAGTTTTCCAGAGCACAAGCTGTGGAGAAAGACCTGCTGTCCCAAAGACTATATACAGCCAAAAAGCTATCTGTTTGACTCATCCTACAGGAACTAAAGCAAGTCCAGCCTGTTCTCATCACAGGAACTCTAGGAAAATCACAATAAAGGATTTCAAACATACTCTCAGAGTATATATTAAATGATACTAACCTGTTACCATCTCTACAATCACCAGCTGTTTCATTAGGGAGTTTCTTTGGTTGTTGTTTTTGGTTGTGGGGCCTGAACTCTTGGCTGGGGCACTGTCCATCAGCTCTTCAGCCCTCTACCACTTGAGTCATAATGCAACCTGAGGCATTTTCTGCTTATGTGGTGCTGAGGAATTGAACCCGGACCCAGGACCTCATACATGCAAGGCAAGCACTCTACCACTGAGCCACCTTCCCAGCCACATAAGAGAGTTCTTAATCTCCCTAATATTCAATTTAAACATATGAAGTAGCCCCAAAATAGGATGTAAATTTGCATGGTCATTAAATAGACATGTTATAATGATATGTCAAATGTGAGTTGTTTTCATTAAATATATTGGAAATAAGTTAAACTTCTACTTTGAATTTTTCTTCCTGGTGTTTATAGCCTCTACAGTAACCAGTGCTCAAACCAAGGGACCCAGACTCTTAAGTTTCTGTCTCTACAAGTCAGAAACATAATATACAAGCATTGAGTCTCTCTAAACCACGTTCAATGTTTACTCAAATATTATTTAATAATTTGGAAGCTATTAGGAAGTTCAGATGTTAGAAAAGAAATTATTATTTTGAAAATATAATTTTAGTTGGCATTTGGTTTCATCAAAATGCATTGTACTCAAAACCTGACAAGTGAGGAATTAAAATCTCTTTGTACATCTACTTAGTAGAAGGAAGGAAAGAAAACAAGAAAGAAGGAAAGAGTAACAGTACTTGTAAGTTCTCAATGCTTTCAATTGTTTAATCTACTAAAGTGTTATTTGCTCAATAGAAAAAGCAATGTACTTAGTAATATTAGATTGGCATGAATAGATTAATACATCTTCAAAGAGTGAGCCTGTACCTCCCTTCACAAGGTTTGGATGGACAGGAATACTTATTTTCAATGCTACATTTATGGCTTCCTCCCACTGAGGTACTAGGACTTAGACATCTCCCTATCACAAGCCATGGCTCCTACAAATCACAGAGGCATCATGTGCTACCTTGGTTACTTTACCCAGTAGCTCTGAAATTGCCTCGTGTCTTTTCTTTATTTATTTTAGCTTTGGTGATATTTTTCTTATGATCAGCTTACTTTACCAGACACATGGTATTTTAAAACTAAAAAAGATGAAATAATTGGAAATAATCTATGACCTCAAATATTTCTTTTCTGGCTGAGTTTTCCTCATCAGCACTTATTGTCATTTAGTACAGGGGAAAGATACCAAAACAAAATAAACACAAACTTATTAGCAAGAAGAAAGCTAACAAATGATAACATGATGGGTCCTTTTCTTAAATTTCAGTATAAGTAGTTTTACAGCTATATGGAAAATAGCTAAGAATATAAAATCTTTGGAAGACACCAGAGTGGATTGAAAATAGCAGACTCACCATCTCTCCTATGTAGACTAGCAAATCCAGGGCCGTGGCTGCTGGACAGAGCTGAGCTGCTGCTGAAGGATGCCCGGGGCAAGGCAGGAGTCAGTGGAGCATCGCACTTGCCTGAACAACAAAAACATCATCATCCCTCACAGGCTACAGACACACTGAGAAAAGTTTTCCTACCTCTACTTCCTCATCTCCCTTCATTTTGAGTTAACAGGGAGAAAAATGCTTGAATTTTAGCAAATGTCAATTTTCACTGAGATATGCTAGTAACTGCTAACTACAGGCTCTCATTGATTGTTAAAACCTGATTAGTAGCATTTGCTGTTTCCCATGGTGTAAGCATTTCAATTTGACCAGAATTGAACCTATACACGGGGTGTTACTAACCAACAGGCTGGAAAGAAATGCACAGTTTCACGCATCATACAACATGTAAATAGAAGATATGTAAATAGACATTGTGCATAAAGAATAGGTGTCATGAAATCAATAACTAGTGGACAGTGGTGAGAATTTACTTCCATTTTGCTTAACTGAAATATTATATAACTTTACTTTGAAAAATGAATGGTTTGTAAAAGTAATGAATGGCTTATACTAGTAACTAAAACTTAATACCAACGACTGGTTATTGAATAGAGAAAGAAGTATTTCTTTCAAGATCAGGAACCAAAACTTATGTTAAACATTGTACCAAAAAATCTTACTAGTATTTAGAAGAAAATAAGTAAGAGCAGGAAATAAACCGTCAACATTTCTAGATACTATGATTGTGTAAACAGAATATCTAAAAGGAATTGTTCAGCTATTACCTTAATATACAAGAACCCAGTATACTTCTAAACATTATCTGTTGACATGATCATGTATTTAAAGAATCCCACAGACTCCACTCCCAAATTACTCAAGCAGATTCAAAACTTTGACAAAGTAGGAGGGTATAAAATTAACCCTCAAAAATCAATGGTTGAGCTGGGAAGGTGGCTCAGTGGTAGAGCGCTTGCCTTGCATGCCTGAGACCCTGGATTCGATTCCTCAGCACCACATAAGCAAAAAAAAAAGCGGAAGTGGTGCTGTGGCTCAAGTGGTAGAGCACTAGACTTGAGCTGAAGAGCTGAGGGACAGTGCCCAGGCCTAGAATTCAGGCCCCACGACCAGACCCAAAAAAAAAAAAATCAATGGCTTTTCTGTATGCCAACAATGAGAAAAGCCTGGCTGAAATTAGGAAAGCAACTCCATTCATAATAGCCCCACAAAAAATAAAATACCTAGGAATTAACCAAAGAAATGAAGGACCTCTTTGATGAAAACTTTAAAAACCAGAAAAAGGAAATCAAAACAGAACTTAGAAAGTGGGAAAACCTCCCATGCTCTTGGATTGGAAGGATCAACACTGTAAAAATGGCAATATTTCCCAAGGCTATCTACAAATTCAACGCAATACCTATCAATATTCCAACCTCATTTTTCAAGGAAATAGAAGAGGCAATCCAAAAATTCATAAGGAACAATAAAAGACCCCGAATAGCAAAAATGATCCTCAACAGAAGGAACACTGCTGGAGGAATATCAATACCAAATTTCAAACTCTACAACAAAGCCATAGTAATCAAAACAGCTTTGTACTGGCACAAGAACAGACCTCAGGACCAATGGAATAGAATTGAAAACCCAGAAATGAACCTACAGACCTATAACCATCAAATCTTCAATAAGGGAGCTAAAAAAAGAGAATGGAAGAAAGACAGCCTCTTCAGTAATTGGTGCTGGCAAAATTGGTTAACTACTTGTAGAAAACTAAAGCTAGATCCTGATATATCACCCTGCACCAGAATCAACTCCAAATGGATCAAAGACCTCGGAGTCAAAGCAGACAACCTGAAAACATTACAGGATGGAAGAGGAGAAACCCTCAGTCTCCTTCACAGAGGTCAAAATTTTCTTAATAGAGACCCAGAAACACAACAAATCAAAGAAAGGTTGGACAAATGGGATTGCATGAAATTGCAGAGCTTCTCCATGGCAAAGGACATAGCTAAAGATCAATAGAAAGCCCACGATTTGGGAGAAGATATTCATTAGCCGTACAACAGACAAGAGTCTCATATCTAAAATATACCTGGAACTCAAAAAATTAAATCCCCAACAACAAATCCTCAAAGAAACAACTGCCCAATAAATAAGTGGGTTAAAGAATTAAAGAGAAACTTTTCTGAAGAGGAAAGAAGGATGGCCAATAGACACATGAAGAAATGCTCAACATCCCTAGCCATAAAAGAAATGCAAATCAAAACAATATTGAGATGCCACCTCACCCCAGTTAGAACGGCTAGAATCAAGAACTCTAATAACAACAGATGCTGGAGGGATGTGGACAGAAAAGAACCCTACTGCATTGTTGGTGGGAGTGTAAACTTATTCAACCACTTTGGAAAGTAGATTGGAGGGTCCTCAAAAGATTACACATAGAGCTTCCCTATGACCCAGCAATCCCACTTTTGGGCATTTACCCAAATTATCACAAAACAAGATAATACTAAAGTTACCAGCACAACTATGTTTACTGCACCATTATTTGCCATAGCTAAGATATGGAACCAACCCAGATGCCCCTCAGTAGATGAATGGATCAAGAAAATGTGGTATACCTACACAATGGAATTCCATGCCTCCATCAGAAAGAATGACATTGCCCCATTTGTTAGGAAATGGAAAGACTTGGAAAAAATTATATTAAGTGAAGTAAGCCAGGCCCAAAGAAACAAAAGTCCCATGGTTTCTCTTATTTGCAATAACTAGTATATGTCTGAGACAAGCAAAAACGGTCAGATAAGTTGATGTTAGGCAAAATGAACCCCAAGATAAAGACTAATTAGTTTTCTTTCTTGCTATTGTTCCTAACATATTTATAAGATGATTTCTTTGTTGCTTTGTATACCCCCATGGTATAATCCCTGTTTTCACTGTATTTCATGTTGGTATAATTTGTGGAGGGGAAGGGAAAAAAATTGTTTATATAGGGATACAGGTGGACCCATTGCACCAATGAGATGTACAAGACATTATATCGAAAAGATGAACTTCACAACTTTGGTGCTGGGTTGCGGGAGAGTGGAGGAGGAAACGGGGGGGGGGGGGGCAGGTGGAGGGGGTGGGGAAATGGGAAGTCATTGTAAGGGAAAAAAAGGGGGAGGCAACAATACTTGTTTTTTTTTTCTTTCATACAATTGTTTCTAACACTTTTATAAGATTATTCCTTTGTTGCTTTGTATGTCCCTCCCCCACAGTATAACCCCTGTTTTCACTGTATTTGATGTTGGTATAATTTGTGGAGGGGTTTGCCTAACAAATCATTTAACTAGGGATACAGGTGGACCATTGCAATAATGAGATGTACAAGTCATGTCGAAAAACGAACTTTACAACTTTGGGGGAGGGGGGATGGCCGGTTGGGGGGAGGAGGGGGAGTATGCGAAGGGATGGGAAGGAGAAACAAAGAGGAGGCAACAATGATTGATAAGAAATCCACTCCTTATCTTGCCCATGTAATTGTAACTCCTCTGTACGGTATTCTCACAATAAAAATAAATAAATATTTTTTAAAAAAGAAATGTACTCATTACCTTGCTCATGTAATTGTAACCCCTCTGTATGGTGTTTTCACAATTAAAAAAAATTTACAAAATGCTATAAGACATTTATACTGTTATAAAATTATATTAAATTTTTTTAGTTTCATAGCTGGGTGCCAGTGGATCATGCCTGTAATTCAAGCCTCTCAGGAGGCTGAGATCTGAGGATCAAAGTTCAAAGCCAGCCCACACAGAAAAAGTCCATGAAACTTAGCTCCAATTAATCAACCTTCAAAGAAACTGAAGGGCCTCTGTGGCTCAAAATGGTAGAGTGCTAACCTTGAGCAAAAAAGCTCAGCTACAGCATCCAGGCCCTGAGTTCAAACCCATGACTAACAAAAAAAAAATTTTTTTAAGCCTCATAAATGCAGACTTGAATAAAGCAGGTCATTTTCTTAAGGAAACAGATTTCATCTTTATTTCCTCAGTTTTCATTACACTGCTTGACACACAGTTGGCATTTGATGAGTATTTCCTGAATTACACCGACCACTGATCCAAGAACCCCTGTACAACTTTCTAAAAATCTGTTATCTACACTATATATCACCCTTAACACATATTGACCATAAATATGCGCCTTTAAAGGGCTGAAATAACCCTAAAAGGAGAGCTGTGCAGTCCTCATTTGCCAGGCCAGATGGGAGGTAGAGGAGTGACAGCACCAGTCAGGACAGCAGAGTCTAGGAACAAGGCTTACCTCTGCAGCCAGGCAGGCTCCCACAGCATTCACATCAGGACACATTCCTATCCCAGCTACATTCAACAACCCACCACACCCCACTTTCTGACAGGACCCATAACTTCTCCATAGTCTGTCAAGAGTGGACCATTTTGTGAAATAAAATACAGAGAATAGGCAAAGCAGCAGTTTCTGCTTTTAAACACAGACTTAAAGGAGACTTTGAGAGCTCACTGCCCCAAAGCACTGAGTCCTGTGACTGTACTTGCTTAGGCCTCCCAGGTCCCCTGGGTAGGACTATCAGACCCTGTCATTAATCAGAGAACCCTGTCAGGTAATTTCAAAAACAATATAAAACACCTAGGGTATGTTACAAACATACAGTCTCTTCCCTATATACACATATATTTCCAGTCCTGAAATTGTAATTTGCAAAATATAATCTGCTTTGGGCTCTACCAAGCCAGAATATTGAGGACACAGTAGGTGGGTATATGTATAGTCAAGGAAGAAAGCTGTGTACAGTGGGAGGAAATGTATGGATTCACATCAGAAGCACAGGGCTCTATCTGTGCAATGGATGGACTTCTAGGGAGGTAACTGGAGTCACTCAATGATGTCAGCAGGGGCAGACTTAACCTGCAGTTTTCTTAGGACATCTCCTGTCTGCAAGAGGTTCTGGGACAGAAGCACACAGCCCGATTCCACATCAGTGACAGTGACCTCACAGTTTCAAAACAGAAGTCATGTTATGCTAAACCCAAACATTTCCCAATTCCATAAGTTTCTATGAAATTCTCAGATTCCATGGTTAAATTGTTTAAATGGCCACAAAACAATATATTATTCAATTTCTTTAATCCAGAGGATTATTTCCTTTCTATAGAATCTGGAACGCCACTTCCCTTATTGTTGCTTTGCATTGAATTTCTGGTCAAAATAATAAACTACATGGATCTCGAGATAACTATTGCTATTTACTAATATTTTAGTTGAACAAAGATTATTATCAGTAACTGCTTTGCAGTGTTTTGCAAATATTTTCTCCTTGCAGGGCATTTTAAAAAATAATAAAAGAACATGACTACAAAAGGCAAACATGTGGTATGGGTCTTAGTCTCTGTGGAGTGCTGTGTTCCAGAACACCAGACATAGTTTTCATGAACAGAGAACCCGGGAGCTGGTTTGTGAAACACCCTCTCCTTACCAGGGCCAGACAGTGAACTATGCAAGAATCTTTTATGTTGGTATAATTTGGGGAGGGGAAGGGAAAAAATTGTTCAAACAAGGATACAGGTTGACCCATTGCAAAAATGAGATGTACAAGATGCTATGTCAAAAAACGAACTTTACAATTTAGGCAGGGGGGCGGGGGTAGTGTAGTTGTGGAGATGGGAGAGAAGGGATGGTAGGGGAAAAACAAAGGAGGAGACAACAATGCTTGCGTAATAAGAAATGTATTCATTACCTTGCTCATGTAACTGTAACCCCTCCTCTGTACAGTGTTCTCACAATAAAAAAAACTTATTTAAAAAAAAAAAGAATCTGCCTAAGGTGAGAAGTATGCTCAGACATCTGCTGTGGAAGCATAGCACATCTTGGGGGACAGGAGACACCCACTAGCCAGGACATGTGGCAGTTGCAGGTTCTGCAAAGTGTTGCACCCTCTCCCTCACAGATGCCTGAGCAGCCACTTCTGACCTTCACAGAGGCTGCAAAGAGCCAAAACCCCACAGGAGAACACACAGGGAGATATCAAGCATTTCAGGAAGGCACAATCCCAGGGGAAGAGCCAGATTTAAGAAGGGTTCAACAAGCTAGAGAGAAGTCTGGGGAAGAAATGAGGACAGGAGAAATCTCAAGGCATGGAGCTGCCAGGAGACCTTCAGATTCCAACAGCGCTGCCTTACATCACTGTCTATGCACATGCCGCTCCCACCCCAGTACAGCTGTGTGCTCCACATGGAGACTAGCATGGTTTAACAAATCAATAGTCGTGGACACGAGACAATGAACAGATGGCCAGTGGAGGTATGTCCTCAAAGAGAATAAGAAACACAGGTGTCCAGGCCACATTGATCTGACAAAGACAGCAGGATAATTCCAACCAATGGAAAATAAGTGACATTGAAAGAAGTTACGCTTTTACATATATTTTTAAGGGAGAGAGTTAATGTTGCTAATAACCAGTGGACCTTAATAGCTAAAAATCAGAGAAATTTTTATAGAGATATAACATTGTATAAAGCTGATACATGTCAATATACTGTAGGAAGATGTTTCTGTTTTGTTTTTTTGTTTTGGAGGGGCTTAAACTCAGAGCCTCATGCTCATGCCATTTCCACTCAAGTCTGGTGCTCAATTACTTAAGCCATACCTACACTTCGAGAATTTTTTTGCTGGTTAATTGGAGATAAGAGTCACAAGGACTTTCCTGCCTGGCCTGGCTTCCAACCATGATCTCACACTCCAGAGTAGCTAGGATTACAGGTGTAAGTCACTAGTGCCCAGCAGAAAGGGCTTCTGATTTCATACCAGTCTTCTGGCTCATATTTCTATTTTATAACAGTAGTATAAGCGGTAATATCCAGACAATAGCAATACCAACAGCAATGCATTTCCCAAAGGTATTGTTTAGCTTTCTGTCCAAGGTCAAGGACCATGGTCATTTTTCTATTTTAAACTTTAGGTCATTGTATCAGCCATTATTTCAGACAAATTACATTGATCCAGGTGTTATTTATACATATTAATTTACTCTTCATCAGAATTCTATATGGTAGGGTACTACATTGTTTTCTTTTTTGAGTACAAGCATTTGAGCTCAGGGCTTCATACTTGCTAGGCAAGTGGATCTATGGCTTACACCACATTTCCAAATCTTATCACATCTATGTGGGTAAAGATGAGGAAAGAGACACACAGAGTGAATGTAAATTACTAGAGAAGAGGGATATAAGTTACTGGAGACCTCACAAACTGGCATGCAGCTCTAGAACCAGAATCCCTAACACAGAGACTCTGCTTGTAAGTACACCACTCCATTAACTTTCAAAAAGTAGGGGTCATTGATTATGTTGGGGCATCATCAAAGAATATTACTATAGTCATGGTTTTCATAACCAGGTGTTTTTATAAACCTCTCTGGTCTGCTTACTGGGTAGAGAGCCAACTCCATACACCTATGATGCTAATGCAGGACCAAGCCACCTGGGCCAGGGCCAGTGATTTCTTTTAGTAACAAAGTTCCTGGAAGATTTATCCATACCAAAACACCAGTGAGGACACTGGCCTGATCTTCCTGTCCAGGAACCCCATCCTATTCTCTCCTCTCTCAACATGCTCCTGCTAACCTTACCACAACGAGAGCTTTCTTGGTGACTGAAAGACACCTGGGCTCCCAGAGTCAAAAGTACTTTCATGGGGCTGGGAAGGTGGCTTAGTGGTAGAGTGCTTGCCTTGCATGCTTGAGGCCCTGGGTTCGATTCCCCAGCACCACATAAGCAATAAGAAAAAAGCCGGAAGTGACGCTATGGCTCAAGTGGCAGAGCGCTAGCCTTGAGCTGAAGAGCTGAGGGACAGCGCCCAGGCCCAGAGTTCAGGCCCCATGACCGGACCCCCCCTCTCCCCCCCCAAAAAAAAGTACTTTCATCTTTTGGACTTAGAAGGGCAAATCAACTATAAACCACCTCGTGCTAGCTTCATTTTCCGAAGCAGGCCAGCCATTGTGTTCATAAAAGTTTATAGTAATACAATGGCAATTTCTCAGTTACTGATACATGTTTTAAAACCTTTTCTGCACTCACGAGTGTATCCCGCCACTCCTGGGTTCCAGGTCTGCATAGAAAGAATCACGAGCATCCTGAACAGGGCGGTAGGGCCATGTCCGCGTCTGAGTGCTCCTCCACTGTCCATCACTCCAGTCCTCCGCTTGGTGCTAACGCCTCCTTGCTGCTCTCTTCTCTTCTGTGTGTTTCAGGGAGGCAGAGAGCCAAAAATGAGCTCTAACCTGCAAACCACGCCCCATCCAGCCAGCACACTGCTCTGTACCCTGGAGCCTGCTGAGCCTCCAACCCCGATGCTCCTGGGGACTACTATCGCAGCTTGGTGCTGCGAGCGCCCCTTCTGGTGCACGCAAAGCAGTGCAGACCACACATACCCACCTCCTACCCCCCAACTCCCCACCTCTCACCCCCTGCTGCACATTTGCCAGGCTGACATGGCCAGGAGTCTTTAGATACTCAACTGTGCTCACACACTGGATCCAGGCTATGCCTCTTCATCAATAGTTCAGTATGCTTCGGGATAAGGAAGTGAGTTATGAGCTGAGTGATATTTGCACACAGTGCAAAATATTGAGCACACACTTTAGTAAACTTGCATATTAATTCAAAATGAGAGGTTAGGACAGTATAAACTACTGTGGCTTTAAGGAAATAGTTACATAGAACAAAAGCTTGTCTGGTGTTAGTACTTTACTATGTCTATTCCAGCTGGGAAATGAGACATACAACTAAATGACTAAAAAACTATGAATTGCCAGGCACCAGTGGCTCATGTCTGTAATCCTAGACACTCAAGAGCTGAGATCTGAGGATCACAGATTGAAGCCAGCCTAGGCAGCAAAGCATGTAAGACTTTTATCTCCAATTTATCACACACATAGTTCCACAACCACCCACCACCACCGCTGCCCCCCCCCCCCACACACACACAGCCAGGATTGGAGCTGTGTAGAGCACTCACCTTGAGCACAAAAGCACAAGGACAACACCCAGAACCTGAGTTCAAGCCCAAGGACTGGCACAAAATAATAAGATAAATTAAAAATAAACCTAATTTGAAAATGGCACAGGATAGCAACTGGAATTTTTCCACAGCAGATGTACATCCTCATGAAACATCACTAGTCACTAGGAAAAGGCAAAGGTCCTACCCCTTTACATCCACTAGGATAGCTGTTACAAAATCAGCAGAAGCAATTGGAGCTGTGGCTCAAGTGGCAGACAGCCTTGAGCAAAAAGCTCAAGAACAGGGCTTATGCCCTGAGTTCAAGCTCAAGATCAGCACTCATGAAACATCAAACAAAACAGAAAGCTGATGTTCATAGAAACTTGAAGAACATAGAACACTAGTTCCTTGCTACCTTTTTATTTAGGTTGTTTTGTTTGGCAGTCGTATGATTGGACCTCAGGACCTCACACTAGGCAGAGCTAGGGCTCCAACTTTTTCTTGTCTTATAGTAATTTTTCAGATATTTTTCAGTTATCTTTCTGGTATTTATCCTCAAAGCAGCTTTGGACTTCAGTCCTTTACTTCTGTCTCCTGCTTAGTTGGGATTACAGATGAAAGACATCAGGTCATCCTAGGACATTACTCCATTTCAACAAGAAGCAGTTAGAAACGAACAATAAGTCTTTTCAAAGAAATTGGTGGGCTATGTTGAAAATGAACTTTACAACTTTGGCGTGGGGGAAGGGATGGGAAGGGAAACAAAGGAGGAGATAACAATGTTTGATAAGAATTGCACTCATTATCTTGCCCATGTAATTGTAACCCTTCTGTACAGTATTTTTACAATACAAAAAAGAAATTAGTGGGTAAAATTGAGAGTGGGGAAAATGTCACAGGACTCAACATCTGAATATGCTCACATGTGAAGATTTAGCTCATGACTGATCAAGGATGCTTCCAGTTACTTGAGTTTTTTCAAAGGCAGCATTTTTCTCTTCTTTCTCACTCTCCTATCACCACACCCACCCACCCACTTGCCATTTCCTAGCAGAGGAAATTTTTATTGCCCGTGTCTAGCTGCTTCTTAATCATAACTGTGGTTCCTTGGAGATTTTTCCAACTGAAGAGGAAGGTAGACTGCTGTCTGAGACTTGATCTTGTAGCCTAGTAAGAAGAAACTGGCACCATAACATTGTGCCAGGATCAGAGGGAAGCAAACTAGAACCAACTAAAAGCCAAATAATCGGCATGTCTTTGATACAAGAGAAAGAAAACCTCTGCCACAGTGTGTTCATCCAAGAGGTCTTTGTTCCACCCAAATCTGAGCACACAGAAGATCTCAGGGAAATGGCATAGGATGAAGAGAAACACCCCACTAACTTGGAAGTCAACATGCATTTCAATAACTTGAACCTCAGAAATTCAGAACTTCTGAAGACCAAACAAACACCATTAGCCTCCAGAATTTCAATTTTCAACTACCCAGGAGATTCATGCCTGAAAGAACTGGCAGGGTCAAGCAGTACAAGCGAAAGCACCCCTTTTGATGATACCCTGCAGGACTGGGATGCTGACACATTCCTGCAAGGTGGTGCCCCCGAGATGCTGATTGCTGATGACATGTTGGCTTCCCAGAGTTCTCTGACTAGCTCACAGAACCTTTCCGGAAGCAGCACATCCACTTTCTATGAGCCACGCTCTCCCTTGAAAAGGAGAGGGCACATTATGAAACAACAAGAACCTAAGACATCTAAACTCCAGCAGCCATGGTACAGCAAAATGATTCATGGACATAATGAGACACAGAGCTGTGAGAGGCCCAAAGCTCCAACACAGAAGGCAAAGCCAGCAGGAATGAGGCCCTCACAAGGCTGGAAGCTGAACTCTCCTGCCCAGGTCAGGAAAACAAGAACTGTGAAGAACTCCAGCCTACCTGTGTCAGAGAAAGCACAGCATCCCCCGGAGAGTCAGTTCAGAAACTGAATAAAGAAGTTTTTATGTCCCTTTTTCCTACAAAAGACAACAGTCAGGCAGACTCACTGCCAAATTCAAAAATCCAGTCAGCCAATAGCAAGAACCAAGACTTAACAACAAGCAGAATCCAAGACAGTGGAGGGCCTGAAGCCCAGACACTTGAAAACACCATTGGGAGAATCCTAGAAGAAATTCACCTTGGGCCTTCTGCCTCCAAGCAAACTTTCCACAAAGAATTTCAAGCCCTCACAGATAGACATTCCCACTCCCACATGGCTCCTCCTTACCAAGATGGAGGCCAAGTGAGGACCAGCAAGGTCTCTTTTCCCCAAACTAGCCCCACTGGCCAATGGCAGGAGAGTCTCAAACCATAACAACCCTGGGACAGACTTGCCTCCCAGAAAGCCTGTGTCTCTACTCAGCTATGTCTGCTAGCATAGGCCAAGGGGGACAAATGTCTCAGGACAGCATATTCACTGCCCACGGCACTGTCCTTTTAATGGGTTAGGCAGTCATGCATATTATGCTTATTATGTACTTCCTTGAGAGGTTCATTTTTGTGAAGACAAACTCCAGTCTATGCACAGCAAATCTGGTTTTTGTGAATGAGTACAATCTGTCAGCTGCTGATGTCTCCCCCCTCAAATGTATATTGCTTAATACAGTCTTTGCATGTCATGAGAGGTAGTGGCTTCTCTTTGTGCCTTCAGCTGGGGTAGGGATTGACCGTCTGTGGTCTTCCTCAAAGCAGCTTCTACAAGGAATGGGCACATGACATAATGCCACTGAAGACTCACCCTCAGGGCTGGGAAGGTGGCTTAGTGGTAGAGCGCTTGCCTTGCATGCATGAGGCCCTGGGTTCGATTCCTCAGAACCACATAAGCAAAGAGAAAAAAGCCGGAAGTGGTGCTGTGGCTCAAATGGTAGAGCGTTAGCCCTGAGCTGAAGAGCTGAGGGACAGCGCCCAGGCCCAGAGTTCAGGCCCCACGACTGGACAAAAAAAAAAAAAAAAAAACTCACCCTCAATCCCTTATTTCACTTATCATGTCCATTTAATCACTACAAAAACAAACTTCACAAAGCCTTTTGGATTCGTCAGGATGAGAAAGCCTGGGAATACAGCTTACTAGGATGTTCCTCAACTGAATGAACTCTGTTCAGTTGGAACATCTTCTGTACTCCTTGCAGGCTATTCACCTAGGACAGAATGTTGACTAGCAAAGCTTATGTTTGTCTTATATCTGCCATTGACACTTCTCTAGGAATCTTCACAGAAGCTGTCTCAGCCACTGGACGCTACTGGTCTTCAGGGAAGGCAATATAGCCATTCATGTCTAGTGATCCTTGGCTCTGTTGGGTCACTAGTTTGAGTTGCATTGAATTCCAGAAAGCATAGAAGCAGATCAGCCTGTTCTTCAGAATGTTGACAGTTGACTAATGAGTTATTGAGGACTTTGGAGTTAGATGCTAAAGCCTTTCGTTGTTCCTTTTGCTGCAATGTAGAATAATCATCAGGGATGGAGAATAGTGAAGTTGGTTTGGGAGAAAGTATGGGATATGGGCCATGTCCTGACCTGAGCCACTTTGGCAGAGGGGGGCAAGATTTTGTCTAAATTCAGCTTAATTCATCATGATTAAAACCTGGATAGTCTCTTTGTTATTATTGGTGGTGGTAGATGTGGGGCTTGTACTCAGGGTCTGGGCACTGTCCCTGAGCTTTATTTGCTCAACACTAGCATTCTACCACTTTGAGCAAGAGCACCACTTTCAATTTTTTGAGTCTCACATACTTTCCTGCCTGGGCTGCCTTTGAACAGTGATCCTTAGATCTCAACCTCAGGAGTGAGTTGGTTTGCAGGCAGGAGCCCCAGGTGCCCAGCAATGTACCTGCATATTCTTGAAAGCTCTAACAGCCAGAAGCTGAACTGGGAATGTGTTACAGCAGAGTTTGAGTTGCTTGTTCTATGGATCAGGCAGTCTACACCATAAACTGCACAGAAAGACCCAGTACAGGTAGGTACATTTCTGCAACATGTGGTTTTCACATAAATCCACATACCCTTTTGAATTAAGCAGTGACAGTACAAATTCTGGTGATCCCTGCTGACCTACTCAAAAAGAGGATATTTTTAGCAGGGTCTAGATATAGGCAT